GATAATGTTAATCAAAGAAAACTAAATGGATATGAATGAAGAACAAAATAAACTAAGAAACTAAATTAAATACAGAAGAATAAGCTGGTATGGCACGACCTTACGATCAATAATTAATACAGAGGACTACACGGCAAGAATAAACAAAAGCACAGAGCTGCTCCACCAGAAACTCACAGAAACACTGCAGAGAAGAAGAGTTATGGTTAATGCAGTTGCAGTTACATCCATGTTTTAATGTTGCAGAGCATTGTCGTTTTGCAAATAGATCAAAGTTTAAACTGGCATCTGTACATCTTTTATCTGGTCACTTTTGACCAGATAAAAGACCTACCGATTTGAAGTTGAATGACCATTACATTTTTTGTAGACGCCTGTAAAAATAATTTCTATTCCCATGGCTTTTTTGTTCTCTGGAAAATTACTTTTGATGATAAATACAAAAACAAGCATAAAAATCAAAACATCAACAATAGCGATAGTAATATTAATATTAAAATAATATTCAGTGCAAAGTAACCTACAGGGACCTGCATAATGGATAGGGGGGTGCTGGCCCAAAAAAGGTGAGAAACACTGGTTTAAACCATTTTTCTTATAAATAAGTATTTCAGACTTGAACTTGGTGAAGAATGATCATTTCTCTCTGATGATCTATTACTGCTTCCTGCAACATGTGGGGAGAACATTCATACAGATCTTTATTCGATATACAGTGAGCCCTCGCTATAACGCGGTTCACCTTTCATGGCCTCGCAGATTTTTTCCACAGTGCATTGTGTTCTGCATTCTGATTGGCTAAACAGTCTCCACACCTCTTCTCTACCTGTGTGCCAATAATGTTACGGTATTTAAATATACGTGTTACAGCTTGGAAAATTTTGGCAAATATTTTTGCCCAGAAGAAAAAAGAGCGACAACTACCAATAGCTATGTTCTTCTCTCGAAAAAACACACCTGCACCACAGGCTTCAGAAGAAAAGACACTACAGAGCAGAGTCAGGCCTCAGCGTCACAGTGAAATACGCGAGTCACAATTTGTCCTACTGTACTTCGTATTGATGATAAAAATGATTGTTTTACTGTAGTTATTTGTAAGAAAGCATTCTATTTGTTAAAAAAATGCTTGGGCCTGAAAACAGGTGTTGTTCTTTGGTTTCAATGTAGAGTATTTAATTATGCTGTATAATAATTGGAAAAAATAAAGGTAACTACTTCACGGATTTCACCTATCACGGGTTCTTTTCAGAACGCAACCACCCCAAAAAACGATGGTTCATTTACATCAAATTTGTTAACTTGTAATAGCAGATAGAGGATAAGAGGAATCAGGGCCTGACCAGCTGATTTTGATTTTGGCCAATACATATTTTTTTCTGTGCTGCATAGAGCAAAAAAGTCCAGGATTGGATTGGAAGAGACAAAAATGTGGATCTGTGCATCCCTATTCTTCTCCCAAAGAAGAACAGGGATGCACAGAACCACTTGAATATGTCCAGAACAGTAAAATCTAGATAGGAAAAAAAATACTGTCAATTCCTGGGGCACTACTGAAGTAAAACATGTCAAGCAGGTTAAAAACCATCAATACTTCCATCTCTGAACACATACATTTTCTATATTAAAGTTTTTTGGTATTGATTTTTAATGCGAAACAGTCGAAGAACTTAAATCATTGTTTACCTGACGGAGAGAATCTGTGATGGGAGCATCCTCTAATGTGTTGCATGGTTCCATGGAAAGGGCAGAATGTACTAGAATCCCCTTCACCCACGGATCACTGAGTGAAACCTAACAAAGATGAATGTGAAGAAACGAACAGACTAGTCAGGAAAGAGGGAAAGATAAGTGCAGCAATGTTCACGCGCAGCCTCACAACTTCCTCCTAGTTTGCGTGTAGAGAAAAAATTTGTGCTAAAGTTTAGATTGGGCCTAAAAACCCCAACCTGACCTGGACCGAGACCCGGTCCAAGCAAACTGATTAACTTTAATTAGAGGCTTGAGCCTGAAGTAAACCCAACATATTATTTTAATTAAGATTTTACGGCTTTTGTTTTCAAAGCACTATTTGAATAAGCAGCATATCTTCTCCCAGCTTTGGTATAACATCTTCCAGCTCTATTTTTGTCTTTTATTCTAATGCAGGATAAGTGGGACAATTGATTGATTTAACAACGTGAACCGTCTACTCCACCATTTAAACAATATATTAACACAACATATCGTTGTCTTTAGTTTTCTCTGTTCTGTACTGTAGGATTGTTAACACGCCTATTCAGCCAAAACTTGGAATGCGCTTTTAAACCACACACTCAAAAGTATCATGCCCATAGCTCTTCAACATGCTGTAAAGCTCCCGGTCAGCAAGATGCATTTAGTTCAGTGTCCATGCTGGAGATGATATTCAGAAGGGATGCAAGGTTTCCCCCAGAAAACTTGCTAAGCCCGGTGGGCAGGGTGACGAGATGGTCCACCGGTGGTCCACCGTGTTTTGGTATTAAAAGATGTTAAGGTGACAGGAAATGTAAAAGTATTACTATGTAATTATATGTTACGGGAAAAGATCTTCGGTGAAATGCTATTTAAACCCACAACTAGTCTAAAAACAACAAATATGCACTTCTGTTTAATGCAAACTAAGTCAGCGGCTCCATCAGGCCCCCAAGGGCTTCAGGGGCCCCATAAACACTAATATTTTAAAACAGATCACAGATACATAAATGTAACACTTGTTTATTGAGATGATCAATGCTGTTAAATTTGATTCAATTGTTTAGGCATACATAAATTAAATGATTTTAAATTGTTTAACATTTAAATACAAGATTTTAAGGAGCTGGCAAGTTTACTTTGTAAAACTTCAAAGAACAATATTCATAGTTAGACTGTTACCTTACCATAGCAACAATCNG